ACACACACACACACCAGTTCAAGGCCCGGGAGGCTCCACTCACATGGAAACAAAGGTTCAAAAAAGAGCCCACACATGGGATACTGGGTTAAATGAAGAAGGTCCACACATGAAAACAAAGGTTCAAAATGAGAGAGAGAGAGAGGGACCACAGAGACTTGTGACTTTTGAAGGAACAACATCAACCAAGAACTCGTAAGTCCACAAACCTCAACCCGGAACCCGGCGGTGGTGGTGGTGATGGAAACGGTGGTGGCCTTACTTTCCCCTTAGTTGTTCCCCTAGTTTTCATGTGTTTGCCCTTATGTTTCACGTATGTCCCCCTTATGGTTCACTTGATTGGTTCTCATTTTTCCGCTGTTGTTTTCTTATGTGTTGTTTGCTTATTTTTATCTTCCCTTTATGTTTCACTTATGTTCCCTTTATTTGTTCCTTATGTTCACCTTATGCTCCCCTTATCTTTCTTTGTGTCTCCCTTATGTTCTTTCCCTTCGACAGGTGCTGCAATGTTGGAGGTCAGTGTTTCCTTTTCCAAAAATGGCAGAGTCCAAAACCACAGTTCCGCTTATTTCCGCAAGCGAGAAGCTCCAGGGAGTTCTCTCATGTGTAGGCTCGGAAGACATCGAAGAGGACTTGACCGTACTGAGGAGTGTGCACGGGCAGCGACTACTGTGCATAAGGCAGAGATCCAAGAACACTGGTGGGTCTAGAATCTGCCACTAAACGCTAGCGCCCTTAACTCGAAATGACGACCACCTGACCCCTAGGCCAGCCGAATAGCGTACTTGGGATCCGGCCGACCCCTCGCAACGCCCGGAAATGTACTACGAACGCTCCGGGACCCCCTGTAACACCCCCCCAAGTATATACGCACGGCTAAGCCCTTCTGGAATGCCTATGGAAGGAGAGGTTGACTTGATTTCCCGGGCTGCCCTCGCCCAAACGAATCAAGCAAAGTTGCGACTGCATGATGTGAAGCCTCATGTATCAATGTGAGCACTTGCTCCGAAGGCTTTGCCAAGAACAAGGGGCAGACGTAGATCCTCGGAAGGCACACGCACGAATTGACACGGGAAACCAGCCCACAGCGAGCTCTGATTGAATCCAGCATCCTCCCAAAAACTGAGGGCCGGACACAAACTTCTGGAAATGGGTAGCGCAGGGGATGCTGGCTTCGTGCAGCTGGAGACTATTGCAGTCATGTCCATCTGGAAGGACGTAGGCAACTTGCTTGTCGGTGCACGAAGGGCCGGGGTAGACAAAGTGCGACTTGGAAAGAATGTCAGCCGCCGAATTCATAGTCATCCGAACATTCCTGGGCAAAACGAAGATGTCACGTGCACAGTGACATGACGAACTTGAACCTTGTCTTTTGCTGCAACACTTGCATCCTTCTCAACTTGCAGGTACATCTTTCTTGGTCATAGCTGGAATAGCATCATTTTTGAACAAACCAGGGATGCGGTTGCAATGCCAGTGGTTCCACCGATCCCAAGCCCTGAATACGAGTCTGAAAAGTGTCCTCTTCACTGCCTCATCTCCAGCACCAAACCATGTCCGCATTTCGGTCCCTGCAAGTCGGCTGCATCTTGCAGTCGAAAGCCAAACAAGCGAGCTCGCAAGGTACTGAAGCTCCATCCAAGACCGTGAACCCGAAACCCATGTCCATGTGGTAAAACCTGAAGCCGACATCCCCACACCCGAAACCCCCTGTTCATAATTCATATTCATGGGCCGCCGGGCCAAGGGCCGGTCGAGGCCTTTGCTACCCCACATTTGGTACCTCAACAGCTACTGTGGCAGCCGTGGCATTCACGTTGGCGGTGCAATTCTCGGAAACTGGAAAAGAACTACTTAAACCCTGCAACATGGCGAGGAAACGAGCGGCTTCCTCCCTCCACCCGAAACCTAGCCCCTAAAACACCCAACCCCTTAAACCTTTAAGCCCTAAAGTCCAAGCCGCTAAAACCCCAAACCGTAAGATTCCAAAGCGAAACCCAACACCCTGTAGCAGTACCCAATAGTAACCTTAATCGTACTTGACACTAAAAGCCGAAACCTTAAGGCAAAACCCCTATAATCTATAGTAACCCCTAGCACCTCACGCTACGAAAGCCTAACCACTAAGACCGTGTAGAAAAACCTTGTAGAACCCTTCGAAGGAACCCAAAAAATCCACGGGTGTCCGGCTCGGGTCGAAATAGAAGGGAACCCTAAACCCTCAAGATTAACCCCTGAAGGCCTGAACCCCAAACCCTTAAACCCTAAACCCTTAAACCCAAAACCCTGGGCCTGTGGCCCCATGCTCAAAGGCCCGGATTGCAAGGCCCAGAAATGCTTCCGCAATCCTCAGAATCAGGGCTTGAAGGTTCGGGATTTAGGGTTTAGGGGTTTAGGGCTCCTCGGTTTTATTTAATGATGCAGTGGGGACTTTCGAACTGACAGAGGCGTACGGGTGTAGGCACACACTTCAGATGGAAGTCCCCAGTGGTCGTACACGTGAGACATCCGGCGCATCATGCAATGGAAAGACGACACTTCAATATGAGTTTAGGGTTCAGGGGCGTTCTGGCTTTGAAATTAACTATGCCGGCGTAGATCCCCAAACAGTGAAAGACCACTACGACGACCACGAGAACCAGGAGCAGACCACCCCCGGAGACCATCAGGGGACCCCAGGACTCCAGCAAGGAGACGTGAAACGCTTTCCCCCAAGTACTGGCGCGATTCGGTGAGCACGAGTTTACGCTTCCCCTCCTTAGCTTGCGGGATCCAGCAGCGGGCTTTGCCCCAAACACTGCCGCGATTCAAGGATTTTGAGAGCCCAATCTGGTCCATGTCGTAGTTTTGCAATACTCCTCGATCGAAGATCCCCTCTTCACAGAAGCATACCATGTGGGGACGAGATTTGCAGCATTTGCTGTAAATCGCAGGATGCGGGGAGCGAGTCTTCCGCGCGTACCGTGCGAATCTTAATGCAAGAACAACATAGTGTTACTACACTTCTTGGAGAAAAAAGATCCACGGAACCGAACAGAATGTGTAAGAGCTCCAACTCAGGCCTGACAAATACCCCGCGCCGAGTATCTGTCCCGACCTCTTCATGACACGCACGGTGCTGGTCCAGTCTGACATATCCGGCTCTATAGGGGCAAAGGCCTCGGCGGCTCTGATGCTCACCTAACTCAGGGTCTTCATGGTGATAGTGCTTAGAGTCTTGGAGCTTCGGGTATGTGGCCGATCAGCCTATTTGGAACGTACTCGCGTTTGGGCTTTAGAGTTCATGGTTGGGCTCTCAGAGCTTTGGAATGTTCCTGTTTGATTCATGCGAGAAGAAAGGATGTTGTCCGTTCCTCACTGCCTTGATACTTCAGGCAGCGCTTCTGCCGAGGTCTCAACACCCTAGCAACCCTAAAGGCAAACCCAAAACCCTAAGAGCTTGACTCCACACCCTGAAAGCCTGAAACCCTAAACCCTCCAACCAAACCCAAAACATCGAATTCACAGCCCAGGAAGCATCTTCTTTACCAGGTGCTTCCGCTGGGAAGATGCGGAAGAGGTTGGCAACCTTAGGATTTTGGGCCAGCAACTGCAGGCTCTAGATTCCTTTTTTTTATCACCTCTTTTCCTTCGCCTGATAAGGGTGCCTAGATTCCAGTGCTTAGGATTTTGGGGCTTCTGCAGTTTCGGGTTTTGAGCTAGGGGGCTTGGGTGTTCTTTTGTGTTTTCCTCCTAGCCTTATGGGTTGGCAGGAATGGAAGTTAGGGTTTGGTGCTCGGGCTTTTTCGGGATGAGGGTTTATGGTCAAGATGGTCATGGTCATGAATATCTGTACTGTCATTATGACTCCGACCCCTGCCGTGAATGTGTGCCGTAGTTCTAGTTGTTCATTCTCGTAATCACGATCATCACTGCTGGCGAGACAGATGGAAGTCTAAGGCGGCGACACGCTCGACCAGCTGCCAGGGTGTGGCTACCTCAGATTAGACTTCCAACTTCATTCACTGGTTCTTTAGCCCTTTTCCTCAATCCATCGAAACCCTAAACCCCTGAATCCACTAGCCCCGCTAGACCTGCTAAACCTCTACCGAAGCCCAAGCAAGATTCCGCTTACGATACGACCTCGATGATCATGCAATATCGTATAAGAAGATAAATCATAAGAAAATGCGTTGTACTATACTGTACAAAACTATACCATACCAAAACTTAACTTAACATAACATTATGTAGCATGGTTTTATCTATCGGGGTGTTTTCTGAGTTGGGCGGTCCGCTCTGGATTTTGGGACGTATCTCTCGCCGTGGTTCCTGATCCTTCTCTTAAGTCGATGGTTGTCGGTGCTTTGAAAATTCGGGGTTCGCCGCCCCTCTGTTAAGGGCAGGCCCTCACAACACAATGATTCGGGTCATAACCTTTATAAACCCTAAACCCTAAACCCTACCGGTATGGACTGGTACTGCCGATACCCTCGCCTTTTCAAGACTCTTGCCTGCCCTTCAGTATGGCCCGAGGGCTTTCCCAGCAGTATCATGTGCCGGGTCTTCCTGTCACGGCTGCTCTGAGTGCGGCCGGGCGTCCGAAGCCCCGGGCTTGTAGGAGGACGCACCGGCGATGGGCTGGGACTCCTCCAAGTATTGAAGCTCTGGGGGTTTAGGATTTTTTTCAAAGTGCAATAGCCCCCCTTTCTTCGAGAAGCTCGCTCGTTTCGGGGTTTAGGGTTTTTTGTTATGGATTTGGGGCTTCGGGTTTGGCTTGTCCTAAGGGCTAAAGTCTCCGGAGCCCTGCTGCATTCTATGGACGCCGTCAAGATGCACTTGACAGAAGTGAACTTACGAGGGCCGCAAGCGACTGCTGCTCGATGCAACTAGGGCGGGGCACTAGAATAGTATATAATGCAATATAAGCGAGTACATTATAATATTTTTAGTATAATAGGGTATAGCACATAGTATAGTATAGCATACCAAAACTATGGTATAGTATAGTCTAGTCTAGTCTAGTATCGTACTTGCGCTACCCCGGCACAAGAGCATCCTCGTCGTGAAGGTCTGGCAGTTCTGCATCCTGCGGCGTTGGGACAAGGACGGAAAAATCCGCATGATCTATGTAGATCGTACTCGTAGCCGGCGGTGGCACCATCATACAAAGCTGCTCGTCAACTTTTCAGAATGAACCCAGCCCAAGAATAGCTGTCTGGACCAACATGTGCTGGAGTGCAGTGCAAGGCGGTAGCGCAACATGACGTGCAGGCTGAATGTGAACTGAGACCTGCTTCGACGATCCAGCTAACGTCCTCGGCAAGGCCAGATATTTTCAGTTGCTCGGGTCTCACGTCTGCATCGCAAAACCACCTGCGAGGACAAGTCATAAGAAGTGATGAAATCTATAGGTTGGTGAATCACCTCTCGCATGGCAAACACTATCTGTGCCGCAGCCTCCTTCCGATGGTGTAGCAGGCAATATCACTCCGCGGAGGAAGAATGTGCCAGTCCTGCAACCAGTTGCTGTCACCCCAAGACGAGCTGCATCAGAAGTTCTAGCAGCAAGGCACTGCATAAAAAAGAAATTTGGCATTCTCATTCAAGCCCTTGGTACCCCGACGGAACAAAAACATCTGCAGCAAGCCGGCTCAAACTGATACAGATCGCGACACAGTAGCTAAACCGGAAAACCTGAATTTACACTCTAAAACCCAAAATTCAATCGCTCAAACCCCAAAATTCAAACTCTAAGACCCAAAATTCAAACTCTACAACCCTAACCTGAGAGTCAACAGAAGGCTTGCCTCGCCTTGACGTACTCGGTTATGGCATTGCAGACATCCACGCAGCTGGCCAGCTCGTCCGGGAGCTCAATGAGATGCCTCAACGAATACTAATAATGTAGGGGCCCTAATAATTGGAGTAGGGTTTTGGGCTCCTTACTATAATTATAAGGTAGGGGCCTTCATAATTAGAATAGGGTTTTGGGGCTTATTATAACTGTAGTATAATAGACCCCTAACGCTGTTCTAATTATTAAGGCCCTATATTCACTATCTCAACTTTAGCAACTAGAAAACAGTAATAACTGTCTTAACCATAAGAACAGCAGTAATAGCTTCTGGAGGATGGAAATTTAGAGTATTTTCGCATGTGATATAGCGAAAATCACTTCTGAAATAGGAGGGTGGTGTAACACTTGCAAATGACTCGGTTTCAAACCAATTCGCATTGAATCGGTTTCCGCCATTCTATATACTAGACATTTTTCCTTGCATTCATTTTGCAGCATTCGTTCAAAAGCATGGATGAAGTCACTATGTTGATAACAAATGATGATTGAGGAACATGTGTATCCGTGCCACAAGCGTGTAGAGTACGCCCCCGCATATGCCCGCACTGATTCGAAAGATGTGGTCTCAGCATACTGCCACATGTGATAGGTCAGAGCCACGTCTTTTGCATGCGAGTGCACCATATTTCGCTCAACTATGTACTACTTTTAAACGGCATTGTTTACGGATCTCCTATGCAAATCACCCCTCCAGTCTGGGCGAACTTTCTTTAGCCGAAATAGTAACAGTAACAATGCTACGACTCATAACCTGCTACTGGTAGCGATACAGGGATTTAGGAAGTTTAGGGTGTCCACACCCGACAAGATCTCCACTCCATGCGACCCACAAGAGGCGTTTCAGGCGAGGCGCCACAAAGTCCGGATCTGCTCAGCTGTCTTGGACAGAACCGTGGCAAGCTGCTCCTGGCCGATCTTCAAGCCTCAGCCATCAGCCATCGTAAAGTCAAAACGAATCTTGACTGGATCAATTTACAACGACAGCAGCGAAGACTGAAATAGCGGCCCCCGAAGGTGCTGTTGAGAGCTCATGTTGGATTTGGAACATTGAATTTATCACTCTTGCTGAGAGAGCACGACCTGCACGAAACGGACCAACTAATGCAAACCCTACCCTCCGACACCCAAAAAAAACCCAAAAAGTCCTGTCCGAACTTGTGATCTCGGCCAAAATGCCTCTGTCATCCCCGTTGATGAACATACAGCTTCTGGTGACGATCTCTTCAGCACAGAGCGGAGGGAAGTCGCCTCGACAACGAGCTCCGTTGGGCTTGATCAAACTCTGGGACTTTTCAGGGCAGAAGAGCAATGTCGTGCCAGTGCTGGAACGAGAATCAGAGAAGAGGAACAGCGACTCGAGAACAAACAACGATGAGTGCAAGTGTCTGCATGTCACCGTCGACACAGATTTTCAATCAGAAGCAGGATTTGTTGCTTGGGTTCCAGCTTGGCAGGGTTGCCGCTACTCCCCTTGCAGACATTTATGATAACTCTCGTAAGTTGTAAGCGCGGTTCACGCAACCAGCAGATGCGGTTTCAAGGGATACGAAGGCAGCCGCGCAGCTCACGTTGAGGTTTCCGAGGACAGCTTCCTCGCAGGCGGGCGCTTGCGGATGTCACGGACGCAGACTTACTAGTAAAGTCCCATGTGGGCTTCAGCGGTCTCATCACCGATGCTAGACATGTTATCATTGCCCTCAGTTTCTCATTAAAGATGGCAATTACCATTATTTCTCATTGCTATCATCTGCGGTTTTGAAGAAGCGGTTTGGAGTCAGAAGAGGCCCGACTCACTGCCTAAACTTCTCAGCATTAGCTGCAGGCTCAAGTCTCAAAAGCATGTTGTGCCTCCATGACCCACCCAAGATCGCCATACTGCAGACTGCATGTAAATTCTTGCTGTTTCCTCCTGCTCCGCCCGATTTGCCTCATGGACGGACCGCAAGGCATGGCATCCCAGCAGGTGTACCAAGAGCAAGGCTTCCACAGCTCGCACCATGCGGCACGCCTGGGCTTCGGAAAACCGAAGGGGCCGGAAGGGGAGCTTGGAGGGTCATGGGCAGTTATAAGTAGGGTAACTGTAATTATAACCCATATTAATTAGGGGACTTATAACCCTACTTATAACTGCCCATGAACCTCCAAGAAGGTGACCTGTGCCAAGGAAGCTCGGGCACGAGCTCACTGAACTTCGCAGGCGACTCTCATGCTGCACCATGCCGCACCTACGAGGTGAGCTTCTGGAGCCAAACTTATAAAGGCGGCCATAGCGCTCGGCTGAAGATCAAGAAAAAAGGGGATGCATGTGACGACGCGGTGCAGCAACGGGCAACGGCAGCATCAACTTATCCATGCAGAATCGCGCAGCACTGTTGCCGAAAGCGCGAAACACTTTTGCCACGCTTTGCTCGCAAGCTCGCCAGGAATGCCAGCGTAGCACCTCCTTTCTTTGAGTTCGCCTCGTTCTTGTCTTCGGATGCACTCTGGCTCTCGCTAAGACTCGACTCTGGCTCGTGATCCGCGGCGGCCGCGGCGTCTGCACCTTTGCCTGCCTTGGCCGGTCTGCCTCTTCGCCTCTTCTTGCGCTGCAGAGTGTTTTGGGTTTGGGCTCCATCGTCGCCTTCCTCTGGATTTGCCCCAAGCAACCACATGACGCGGGTCTTCCCAAGGCGTAGCAGCGGCTGGCCATCTCTCTTGCTGCTATGCGTCTTCACTGCGGCACTGAAGGAGCTGCCGCCACGCAGAGACGACAAGAGCTTCTGTTGGCCTTCTTCGAGCATGGTGCCCAGCGCTTTTCTAGCGCCGTCCACTGCTGCAGATGTGGAACTGAAACTCCAGCACCACGTGCTGCCGCCCAAAGCCGCGGTAAGAGACTTGGCCACACGCTCGTGAGGAACTTCGAGCAAAAGCTCGGTCATGCCCGAAGCGCCATCCAGACATCGGAGAGCACAGTCGAAGGGCTCCAGCGCCAGATCGCGACGAAACGCAAGCAGCGTTTGCCGTGGAAGCTCCGTTAGCTTGGCAACGACCTCCTGATCAGGACTGGCATCGGGGAGGTCGCAGTCTGCCTTCCTTTTCTGCCCACGGCCCATGGGCCTAGATGAAGAATCATGTAGCTAGACTGGAGTAAGCATACACCGTCATACACCCCCAAACCACTAAACGAAGTCTGAGCCTAAGAAGTCTGCACTCTACACCATGAAGCCCACGGATCCTCTGCATAAAGCCGAAGCCCGCACAAACCTAAGGTGCAGGGCTCCCAGATGCATCGCTGAGCCTTCTAGTCTCATCTCTTCGTTTAGGGTTTAGGGTTTAGGGTTTAGGGTGTGCTTTGGTACCCTGGAGCAGGTAGGCTCTGCAGGGTAGGCTCGGCACAGCACTTGCAGCAGAGTGGTCAAGGGCACAGGGTGGCCACCGCCCATCCACTAACCCCTAAATTCTGAGCCTCAAACCCTAAGCTCCTAAACCCTTTTTTTGAAAATCGAAGCTTGGCCCTGTCCAACTAGACAGCCCGGCCGCTGCTGGTGGAGTTGGGAAGTCCTTAAGGACCCAATACGTACGAGGCCCCTGGAATGGTAGGCTTCAGGCTTGCAAGGGTCGTCTGCAGGGGTCACTCAAAAAGCCTCCCCAACCCAGACGCCCAGTCATACTCATACTCCACCAGCAAGTGGCGTTCGACATTAACATGAGCTACCTCCTGACTAAAGCAAGCAGCCTGAGGTTTACAAAGGCATGGGTTAATTCCCACCTGCCGATCTACAGCCACGGGCTCTCACATCCGCCGGAGCTTACCCGGACGGGGTGAAGTAGAGCTGGATGATTTCCAGCACAACCTCACATCACTTCGTGGGTGCAGGTGTGAATATCATCATTGCACATCAAGCCGGTCAGGTAATCTACACAGCACCATATGCGAGTTCGACAGGCGTCTTCTGTCGAAAAGGGTCAATTTGTGCATCCCGCTGGCCTCGACCAAGATCAATATTATGACAATCCATTCGAGCCGCGTTTCGTGGCTCACCTGCCACAGCTCTGACTGACGGCTTTGGTACAATTGGAGCATCGCAACGACACAAAAGTATTAGCAAAGCGCGCTGCGGACAACTAATGTTGCCAGCTACACATTCAAGCTGTTCTGCAGCAGGTCATACAAGTCCTCCGGGCACCAGCAAGTTCTATGTGCAAAGCACCCCTAATTGCAGAAGGCATCCAACTTCAAATGACCGAACCTAGCATGCCCTGGACAGCATCCTTGAGAACGACTAACCGCTGATTGAGGATGTCCTCAGCTGACTTCAATGCCACAATCTACGAAGTGACCGTGAACTCTTTCCACGAGGTGCATAGTATGTTCATGAATCGTATCCTGTCTGCCTTGCTCTCTGAATGCAGCAAAGGTGCGACTCGCTTGTCCTCAGTGATGCAGGACTCGTTGAATCTCTATAACTTTCAGACTCAGTGTAATCGCTGACAGCTGCGAACTAGCTAAGCGTGTTGAAGTACTAGTACCGTAAGTCTCCGGTGTGGTGCTAAAGCAAGGGAGGAAAATCACTCCGAGTTCAGCAGGTCGCGGGTCTCCATCATGAGCCAAGCACATGCTAGGAGAGAAGACGAGGTTCGATGTCCAAGTATGTTCTGCAGGCCACGTAGATCTTCTCAAACCGCTCCTGGCAAGAAGACCCTCGACAACGAAACTGTAGTGGCGCTTACGCACGCGCTCCCCCATTTCCCACAGCCAAAGGCCTGATTCACAAGTTTCTTTATTGGCGAAGGGACTGACCCCATGACGGGCCGTCCAAGCAAGCAAAACCAGGATGCCGTCGTAATGAAACCCAGCACGATAGGCACCAAGTCTTGTCCAACCCTAAACCCTAAACCCTAAACCCTAAACCACCCTAAACCCTAAACCCTAAACCCTAAACCGTCCTAAACCCTAAACCCTAAACCCTAATTCGTTTGTCAGCCAAGGCCCGGATTCCAGGATCATTTTCTTATACCGCGTTGAGATATGGGGGTTTCAGAAAACAGGGGACCCTAATATAGTACCCTAAATAGTAGGATCCTTATTATAAGGACCCCCAAATAAGGTACCCTAATTTCGGAAATTCTCATATGTTTTGAATAGGACTTGACAATACAGGTTCTGATTCACTGATACCAGTAGGACTCCGAATAGGATAGCAGAAGGATTGCGATGGTCTGGATGATGCGCTTGGGAATATGCACTAAGTACACCCCCACATCGGAGAGACCTCTATCCGCGAGTTGAGTAGGGGTGGGGACCGGGGAAACCCTACTCTGCATCGTAGATATTTCTGCCCTATACCAACCTGTGCTGACAGGAGCACCGGGGAGTGCAGGGAAGGCCCCCAGCTGCCCTTACCACGAGTTTGCAGAAGCGCTGGTGTACGGGTTGTCGTCCAGGCCGGAATAAGGTCGGAACGAGAATAGTCGGCAAATGCCGGTTACACCCGTATCTGAGACCTATCAAAACCGGCATCAAGAACCCTATCGGAACCGTCTTCGAAAGTCTATTCAAACAGTATCCGGATCCCAAAGTGTACTCAACTCGTAGTACTAGTAAGAAGCCAGGAACCCCGCCCAAAGCAACGTACGCACTCTTGGCCTTATTGAGCATCCACAAAAATGTTGACTTGGGAAGTCCTCTCCTCATCCCAGAAGATGTCCGGTGTGTCGAGGATGTCGGTGTGCAAGTTAACATCGCATCTGAAGGCATCGTTCGACATGATAGGCAATGCTCAAAGTTCTGCTTGGCATCAGTGCGGGATATCTGTCGCTACTTAACCAAAAAACTGTGAGGAGCCAACCCTCTGCTGATCAACTTCCGGCATCAGATGCATTCCAGAAGACATGCCTCAACATCAGCAGCGCGCCCATTTGCTTCGCGAGCGCACGGGCCTTGCAAAACCCACCCGGCCCGCTGAGCACCAGGCATATAACTTAGAGGGTTGCGACTGGTGGTTCAGTTGGAGATAACTGCAGCGTTGACCGTCACCAGTTCATATGACATATCACTCGACCACGAGTCTTTGTGAAACCCACACTACAAAAGTCGTAATCGGAGAATAGCAACGTCGACAGTACTGGGAGTTGTTGTGGTACTGGTTCAAACAGTGACGGCAATCATAAAATGCGTGTGTACCTTGCCGAACCGGGTGATGATACTGATAACGTTACTGAGCCAGAAACCAACATAATAGTGATGATGCCATGATGTGTGGCTGATGTGAGTATGGCACGAGATGACATGATATGATCCTTTTGTATGGTATGGTGTGATAACCTGATAAGGCTGGTATGGCATAATGTCTAGTGCTTCTACTACCACTACCACAACAACCACAGCCAATACTGCTACTGCTACTACTACCGCTACCTTTTAAAGGATCATGGGACTTAGTAAGTAGGGCTATAACTAAGGTAACTATACTTATAACCCCAATTAGGGGACTTATAACCTTACTTACTAAGTCCCACGATCCTCCAAGCACTACCACCAACAACGCAGTGGCAGTGGCAGTGCAGTAGAAGCAGCATGAGTCGTCGTCGTTGCTGCAGAAGGATTTGACTAGCAATGACAACAATCGAATTTGAATCGCAAGTACTGAAGGTCACAGCAATCAGACAAGACTGCTAAATTAATAGCTGCCATGGTGATAATGCAAAGATCGTGCATGGTCTGAGCCTCCATATTGACTTCCCCCGTCTCGGCCAAGGTTTCAGGGATGCTCCTGACAACCATGGGGGCCCAGCAGGGAGGCTCGAAGGACGTTGTACTCTGCGGAGGTTGCTCTATACTAGTACAACAGCAGGAAGGCAGATGCTTCTACACCCTCTCTTCTCAAGTCCCCACTCCTAAACCCTAATCCTAAAACCCTAAACCCTCAAACCCTAGCTCTCAAAACCTTAACGGTAAACCGACTTCCGAAATCTCCTGGTCTCCCTGATGGACTTCTCCACCACCATCTCGAAGCATCCAAGACGGACGGACTGTGCCAAGGCCTTTCCGCAGGCACGGATATGTTGTGCTATAGGTTAAATACACACTCGTATGTGTGTATATATATACATATGTCGAATTAAAGGATATATGTATATATATATATATATACATCACAGGCTTCGACGCGATTGCATAGATGTGTATATATATATATATAATATACACATGGTCGGAACTGGTGGCTAGTGGCCCGGAATTCTGTACTTCACGAACTAGCAACGTCCACTGAAGCAAGGGCACGTAGGAATGCGCGAGCTTCTCCTTCAAGGGGCTATGCGACGCCAAGATGATCCTCAGCAATGAGTGCTATATTTGTTCTAAAGCATGATGTTAATCTGGTCAGTATTTTATGTGGCAGGGTCCAGCAGACCTGAATGTGAATGATGCACGCCGAAGCTGAGTCCCCTGCTTGTCTTGGCTGATGCATTTTGCCTGGCCAAACGAGTTTAAGCGTGCATGGCGTGTTCACTCGCGCCTCGGTGAGTTGTGACCTCCAACAAGCACGGCCCGTTACGTGGCCTCCTGCGCTGGCTCATCACCATCATCTGCGCCATCATCTGCCTCCACCTGCGCAACTCGCTCCATCACTTCGTCCGGCCTACTTGCGAACTGGCTTGTTGTTGTTAGTTTAGCAGCAACACTCACAGCCGCCAGAAAGACAAAGCAGGCCGGCGAGTAAGCAAGCGAGCAAGGGAACGCGAGTGGGATGACGGAGCGAGAGAGGAAAGAAATTGGAGACCGAGCCAGCAAGGGAAGGAGGGAAGAAGCGATAGGCAGACACCGATTCGGAAAATTAGAGACATATGGAGCCCAAACAGGCTCACGAAAGGATGCTGAAAAAGGCGCCTCGTCTTTCCGCTTATAGAGGAAATTCATTGTCTCCTCCTCGAAGCCACCTGTAACTACTGCCGAGCAAAGTGTCGCTCCTCTGACACTCGGGCTCAGCCAAAGGCTAAGGGGCTAAAGGTATTGTCGGTATGGTACCACAGAGCAGAGGTTGTGGTTACACTATGCTTATGAACCATACCTGGCGACCTGGTGTGGTATTGACCAGATTATACCGAATGCTCTTACGCATAGGAGGCATGTTTCTGCTGTCGTTGCAGCTGTTGCGCTGTTATTGTCGGTGCCGTCGTGTTGGTGGAGGTGGCGGTGGCAGTGGCGATGGTGGAATTCGTGGCGGTGGTGATGCTGACGGTGCTGCTGATGCTGGTGCCGGTGGCGCTGTGGTGGCTGCAGTGGCGGCACGCCAGGGTGATCGTGGTGGTGGTGCTGCTGCTGGGTGATCGTGGTGGTGGTGCTGCTGCTGCCGCTGCTGGTGGTAGTCGTCATTTCTGAAATGATACTGAAGATAGCAATACTGATGCTGATTGATCACGATGCTGCTCTCGTCGTCGCTGCTTTTGCGGTTGTTGCTACTGGTTTCGTTGTGGCTGTTGTTGTGCTTGACGCTGCTCTCAGTTGCGCGTAAATCATGTATCGTTCTCGCCCGCATAACCGGTTTCATTCACCATACTCCGTTCTCACTGGTGCCATGAAATCAAGCATCACTGGCTTGGCATTCCAGCTAAGGTCGTACTTACAAATGGTAATTCTACCGTACATCATATATATATATATATAGACATATATATATATATATCAGACATCATAGATCATGCAGAATATGTCATATATGGCCTTGGCATATAACATGTAACCATACATATTCTGTCATATATAATACCTGATATGAGCGATTAAGCACCCCTGATAGGTCCCACTGCATCGAGCTGCTCCTCTCCTGCGGCCGCACCAGAAACCTAAGCACTCTGCGGGTTCTTTGGGCCTTGGGCCTTGGGCTTCACGCGACGATGCTTCCGGCTCTTAGGGCCCCGATCGGTAGGAATTTGGTGGTTCAGGGTTGAGGGGTTGGGGGCGTAGGCCCAGCGTTTAGGGTGTTTTGGCAACCTTAGCTGCAGCGAAGCCGTCTGTAACGGAAGGGGCTGTAGCAGAAATCACTGCGTGACTCCATGACTACTCAGCCCAGCCACGGCTTCATTGCATCCCGGATCTGATCGAGTTCGTTTGGCTCCAGACTCCAACAGACCTCAGATTACACAAGGGCTCCCGATGGTGCATTCATAACGGAAGGGTCTGCTACAAGGACCCGTGAAGCGATCCACTCGATAAACACTCATCTGAAGAGATAGCACCGCTGTCGCTAGCCTTTTTGCATGGATATGCATGGATTGCTGCTGCACTTTCTCCGACCAATTCCCTAGAATGTAAGCCAGCTAGCAGCAATTGAACCATCAAGTATGAATTGTCTCATCAAACAGAAAGCTCATTGCCGACAGGCAGCGATGCAACCAAAGCCAAATGCAAAGACATCCTGCAACCAACGGCACAATTTGTGCAAGTATGTATATACACATAAACTTGCTGTCAAAGCCATCCATACATTACATATGCAACATTATACACCTCTGCATCCACAAAGATGGATATGCAGAGACATGATACATGAGTTAATACACAAGCATAGCTCATGACTCATACACACCACGCAAATGAACACCAATGCTTTGACATGCGCAAGGTTAAAAATGCATGTCGACAAAAAGACAGAAAATAAGAGATTGGAAGACAGAGACATTGAAAGAGCGCAAAGGGAGAGAAGGACTAAATAGATGAGATTGCGGACAGGATCGAGGCAAGGTGCAGGGCGCTGGACGACAGGACAGGACTGTAGCAGCAAAAGGTCTATTATGTATATTCATGAGTACATGTACATGATGGGATCGAGAGGAGAGAGACAGAGAGAGAGATAGAGAGAGAGAGAGAGAGCGCGAGGGAGAGGGGGAGAGTGAGAGAGAATGAGAGAGAGAGAGAGGGAGAGAGAGAGAGAGAGAGAAAGAGTGAGAGTGAGAGTGAGCGTGAGCATAAGGGTGAGGCTGAGGGTGAGGCTGAGGGTGAGGCTGAGGGCGAGGCTGAGCCGTGAGACTGCGAGTGAGGGTGAGAGTTAGGAGTGAGAGTGGGAAACCGAAGGGAGTCATAGCCATTCTGTGCTGCACACAGCACAGGAGTGATGTGCGACGATGCATGCTCTAGTTGACCACCTGCACTCAACCCCATCACCAAACGTATCCCAGGGTAGTTATCAACACCATCCCTCGTCGTCTGCGTCATCTCTGCTGCGAGTGGATCCGCCTTCTGTCCGAAGAACTGCAAGTGGAGAACAATGTTCTCGCCCGTGCCGAAGTGTCTCACTAGCCCGCCTGGCAGCCAAGACTCAAAGCAGCACAAGGGAAGAAGCGCAGGTGCCAGTGCCCGGTCTCCACATCTTCAAGATGAAAGGGAAAAAGCCATCCTCAAGCGCGCCTAAGAGCTCCCTGTCTCACCAGAGAGTGCTGCGCTAGGCTGCTACAAGTAGACAAGAAAACCACCTGCGTGCGGACGGAGACAGAAGGTCAACTTTCACCTTTCATCGACCCTGAACTGCTTTGCCTCCGAGGCCATTATCGAGCTGGCGTGGTCCAGGCAGCGAAGACTGGCTGCCGCCTTTCAGGACTCTGCAAGTCAGGTGTCATCTAAACCTTACCGGAGCAAAAAAGCCTGAGACGCGAAGACTTCGGATGAAATCGGGACTTCGATTTCTTCTCTGCAGGCTGGGGATTTGGACTGACCTTGGGACTTCACTGCAAATGGTGCTTCGATTTGCATCTGCGCCCGCCCGAGGCAGACAAGGTCTCTACTGTAGCCTTTGCGCAGATGCAAGTACAGATGGTGGAAAATGACAAGACGCAAGACCCGAATTTCAATTAATTTTCGGAACTCCGTTCAAGGGAAAACCGACGAGGATGGAACGGAAACGACGAAGGCTAAACTCGCTGATTGAAGTCAGACTACAAAGCAAGCCTCTAATCAAGCCATCATCCAAAAGCATGTCAAGCACCTGACACTTTCGAGCAATGCACTGCAGGCAGTGGCACATGGCACCTCGAATCTCGGGGGGTAACTCCAATTGCGACAGCTCGCGGCCCTTAGTCTTCAAGCAGGACTGGAGACGTGGAAGGAGAGCTGTGTCTAAACCGATCGCATTCAAAGCGAAGCCAGGTGCGATGGATACTCCTAGACGTGGCTTTTCTGAAAGGCTGCTGCCAATCCCCACGAAATCCAAGGACAGTGGTGCGGTGCTGCATCTAGCGAACTGCGGCTGCACGGTGCTGCCGTGAAGAGAAGTGGTCTAGAGACAACCGGCATCCGTGATGCTTGAGCCTTAATACGACAACCCTTCAAGCTGTGGCCGGTGCCGCTGCCGCTGCTGCTGCCGAAGCACGTGCCACCTTTCTGCAGTTAATGGATCCATTTGCCCGATATGCAAAGCTTCAACATGCCGTGTTGGCCGAGGATCTTAAAGCGAGTCTGGCATGGCAAAGCATGGCAGTCATGCTTCACTGCGTGGGATGTGATGCATGGGGCAGCTGTTCATACAGTAGCACCCGTGTCGTTCTGCTAGGCTTTGTGGCCATCACAACTATGCTGTAAGGGCGCCAGAACTCGGATAGATGCTGTCAGCCACGCTCTCCAAACACCAAGAGATTTTCAGAAATCCGCTCCTCCCCCCCCCCCTTTCCCCGCTGGCCTCAGTCGTAGGCGCGCTCGCTTCTGCCAAACTCGCCTTGTAAGCAGTGCAAGCGATGGCCAGAGGCTCCTTGTGGTACCCCACTTCATCGTATCACCCTTTGGGGGTTTCCAAAAATGGGGGGCCCTGATATAGTACCCTAAATAGTAGGATCCTTATTATAAGGGCCCCAAAATAAGGTACCCCTAATGTTCGGAAACTCCCCTTTGGCGCCCTGAAGCAAAGGGCAAAGGGTGCCAGAACCTTGCAAGCGAGCACAGCCTTAGCCTCGCTTGCCATGGGAAGCCCGGGCCGCAGGCCAAGTCCAAACCACCAGCCATGCAAACGGCATAGCATTCCTTGACACAGAGGCAACTGCAAGAGCTACCGAAGGCCAAGTTTCCATGACCTGTAACGGAAATAGACTTCGTAACCTGAGGGACTGGCTCCATCTTTCTGCAAATTCTCATCCAGCTGTCGCCTAACCTGCAGTAGAAAGGCAGATGGCTAAATGTTGCAAGTGCAACAGTGCAAAGTGCAGTGCAGCGAAAAATTGCTCTTCAAGTTGCGCCGTGTGGCTGTCACAGTCACACACCATAATACTCTGACACGCGGCTCCAACAACACTGCGCTTCGCTGAACAAACATTAGTCTTCAGTCTACCTGCTTGAGCGCACCAATGACTGCTCGTCCTCGTTACTTGGAGGATCATGGGACTTAGTAAGTAAGGTTATGAGTCCCTTAATTGGGGTTGTAAGTAAATATAAGTATAGCTTAATTATAACCCTACTTACTAAGTCCCATGATCCTTTAAGTACCGACGGGTGGACAGCAACTTGCCAAGCTCGACAGCTTCATAGTAGAATTTACCGGGCCTCAGCCCCTGTCCCTGCTTCCTTCTGGTTTCTTCTGTCTCACTTGATATAGTACAAGACAAAGTATGTATGACCTATAACCCTAAACCCTAAACCCTAAACCCTAATGCTATGATACTCCAATAGGCAACACGATGATATGTCCCGCTTCGGAGTGCCGTACCTCATTCACAGTCTGCCTCGTCGCAGGAGCTCGCCGAGATGCGGCCTGGGAGCCGCAGAAGAGCAAGAACCGTATACATATATATATATATAATTAATATATATATATATACATATATATATATATATATATATGGGTTTAGGGTTTAGGGTTTAGGGTTTAGGGTTTAGGGTTTAGGGTTTAGGGTTTAGGACTTCCGGGCTTTGAGCATTACCTCTGTGAGACCTGAGCTGCACCTAAGGACAAAGAGCTCACAT